AATTAACGCTCATCAAGTTAATTTATAAAGAATGCGCGCAACCGATTGAGTTCCATTTGAGCAACCGGAAGTGATATTCACAGAAATCGCAGCCCAATCACCACCATCAAGTTGAGAAAGAACTTGATGGTGGTGATTTACAAAAGAGAAAAAGAGAGATTTTTTCTCTCCTTTCTCTCTACACCAAAAGAAGTCGCTCTAGCCGCCAACCCAAGTTCACTAGGCTTGCCCCTCCGGCGTCCGGCTATCGCCAGCGTTGTGAGAGGCCTCACTTCCATCTTTTTGTGGCCCACGGTTCTTCATCCGTGGAGAAGATCTCTTTCCGATGTGGTTTTTACGGCTTGTCTCTCTCTCCAACGGTGGTTCGTGGAAGCTTGGTTCGGTGTTGCATGTTGGAGGCGGATCTGAAGATTTAGGTGTGGAGTGGTGGTGTGTGGTTCCTTGGGCGCGGCTTCGACGGATGTCTCTCCTACTGGTCAGATCTACTATGGAGATGGCAGATCTCGTTGTTAGCCGAGTTCTCCCGGCGTTGGCAGATCCCAGGTGACCTTCTCTCCCTTATCCGTTGTTCTCGCCCTTAGATCCTAAGTGGTGCTTCGCCTTGTTTCTTTGGTTCATTCCTTCCCATCCTTGCTCCGGTTTGTAGTCCAAGCTCGCGGTTGTGGACTCCGTATCTGCGGTAACAGATCTTGGATCTGCTCCGGGCTTTTGTGGAGGTTTACTGTTCCGCCTCGTTCTTCTCTTGTTGGATGCTGCGCTTGGTGTAGATCGTTGTCTTCCTGACTAAGACTGGAAGGTTCGTTGGTTCTGGATCGTTGGCCCGCTTTGCTAGCCGCTAGAGCTTTCGGCATGAGTTATATCGGTTAGTTTGGCTCGTACGGTTAGGAGCTTCCGGAGCTATGCCGTCAGTCGGCGGTTGGGTGGATCTTCTATCGAAACCACTATCTAAGGCGGTGGCTTCTGTGGCCACCAGAGTTCAGTTCGGCGGCGTCGAAATCCTC